CCTTGGACTGCTCAACAAGCTCGATAATCTTTTTCAAAAGAGGAAAAATAGACATCAGAAACACATAAGAGATAGAATGAATCAGAATATTAAGAAAAAATAATATTGAAGAACTGAAGAATTACTTTGGCAGCTGTATTATCAGTAAGAGGTGTCTTATTCCTGTGCGCAGCTATAAGCCCGGCATAGCAGAATTTGTTTAAACCAAGACCAGCTGCAGTCATATCGCGAACAATTGCATACCTGTAATAAAGGAATTATTTGATGTCCAAATAATACAAAGGAGGTCACAAGTTGAAGGAGGAGTTAATAGGTAATTAACTAAGGCTGGTCAACAATCGTGTTGAAGTATAAATACTTAAGTTACATTCTCTCTCGCCGCTACCATGATTGTTAAAAGACTTCAACTGCTAGGCCTAAAATCTAACATGCATGTGAGGAGACGTGTTGAAGCATAAAAAATTAATTTACACCCTCTCTAACAGATATAGCTTTTAGAGCAGTTGGTGGTTTAACAAAGAGCAAAATCAAAAGGAGAGAAGCTTGAAGCTGCTTGCTTGTGAAAGAAAATATTCATGCAAGATTGTAGGGAAAGGTTTAGGTAGCTATGGAAGAATATATTGATCTCAACTAATATCTGACCAAATAATTGAATTGCATGAAAAGAAAAAGGAGCTAGCAGGCAACTTTTGCTCGCTTTTCAGCTTATAGAGATAGTTATGCTTACACCTATATATACTTGAAAGAGCAAGCTGACAATTAAAAGCATGAATCATATGGCCTCAATCTTGCAAGTCATAAGAAATGGAAAGTTAGACAACAGAATAGATAGCATACACTCGATCTAATCGGCCAGCGACTGCACATGCATTGAGTAAACAGATGTAAGTTTGTCCAGTAGGTTTGACTTCAAGTTTCTTCATTTCTTCCAATATCTTCAATTTAAAGAGAAAATAAATAGATGAGAAATATGGATTAAAACTCCACAACAAATTTCCGATTTTTATTTGCAAGATTTATACAAAACAATGCCTTCACAAAGCAACTTACCCGGAGTGCCTGGTCAGAATTCTTGCATTTACCGCAGGTTGAGATCAAGAAATTGTATAAAGCAACCTATGACAAGGAAAGAAGCAATGGTCTACACAGTCAGTAAGGCCTACTAAAGCTCAATCAACGACTAAATGATTTCTAGATACACCCACTTCATTTCAACTGTAACAAATTAATAATGTTTTGCATTCTGAAGGGAAGATCAGATAATACAGTTTCTTCAATTCAACACAAGGAAAGGCATTTATGAGCGCCTCCCAAAAAAAAAAAAAAAAAAAGAAGGTAATTATCCAACAAAACTTGAAATTTGCAATTGATCACATTGGTTTCTCCTTTTCCTTTCCTCCTTTTCAAGCATGCTTAACGGGTAGGGGGGACAACAAGCAGCGGTAAGAGTTATGGCAAACTACAACTATACAGGGNTTGCAATTGATCACATTGGTTTCTCCTTTTCCTTTCCTCCTTTTCAAGCATGCTTAAGGGGTAGGGGGGACAACAAGCAGCGGTAAGAGTTATGGCAAACTACAACTATACAGGGGAGAGAGAGAGAGAGAGAGAGCACTAAATATAATAGCTTGCATTTCATTTTTCTGACATCAGCTTCAGTAAAATGGACCAAACCATACCAAGAACAAAGGATCTGAATTAAAAGGCAGAGGGCGAATTTCCAGCAACTACATAAGAATGACAGAAACTCAAAACAAAACATAAAAATGGCATAAGCTGTCAACAAAAGGTTATAATAAAAGTGTCTTCATTAAGCACAAAGAACTAATTTTTCAATTTACATGAAGTTCACTTCATTTCAAACCCTCTCAAACATAATAGTGAAGGGCATCATATGAATAACTAGTAAAAAAAACTAGGAAGAGAGTAGTGAGTGAGTACATGGTACATACATCAGGAACCAAACCCATGGCTTTCATTTCGTCACGGAAAAAGAAAGCGTCCTGCAAGCGACCACCTCTCATCGTCCCAATGATCAGCGAATGAAAAGTATCTCTCTCTGGCTTAACCCCATCCAGCAACATATCATCATACACATCTCTCAGCAAAAAATGCCTATTTATGTCAAAATATTTTCACAACACCGCACCAATCACATTAATTTCAATGTGTACGTATATACATACAAATAGGGACTGAATAATTAAGAGGTGAAATAGGAAGGAGACCTTCGTTGCTGAGTAATAGAGCCAATGACGGTGTTGTACTCCGACTCATTGCTAGCGTAATTTCTCTTTGCATAGTCCTCTGTTGAAGCAGCAAAGTATCGACGACCGAGAACTCGAACCAATGAACGGTGATGTCCTGATATATATATATATATATATATATATATATATAGAGAGAGAGAGAGAGAGAGAGAGAAATGGGGGGAAGAAAGATAAAAGCTTTGTATATCTATAAAGAATGGGGGTTGGAGAAGACCGTACCAGAGAGTGTGTGAAGGAACTTCATGGACTTGGGCTGAGTTTGTCGAAGAAGCGTTCTTCGACTCTGATGATTGTGTTCATTCCAGTACTACAGGGATCTGCGCATAAACCCTGGGGATTTGAGGGTAAAATTACGAAGATGAACACTTGTCGTGCGGACATGGGCCGGGTTTAGTAGCTTTGTGCACTTTCAGGTCTGTACAGGTTGATTGAAGTTGAAGGATCTGAACCGTAGCGAGTGTTTTTACTCTTTAATTGATCAGAGATATTAGCCGTTGGATTTAATGATAACTTGTGTGGCAAACGTCGTCGTTTAAAGGCTAGCTTGAACATTTAACTTTCTACCCTTTTAAAAATTTTGGTTAACAATCCCAAGCATCCTGATCAAAAAAACCAATCCCAAGCATAACCATGGCAATTCATACCTGTTTTTCTCTGTACTTGAGAAACTCTTAAGATGGGTCTATACCCTATATGCAACAATAACAAATACATCTATATAATAAAGTAGTTTATAATTCAAATTTTAAAAGATAAATAAAATAATTTTTGTTATTCGCAGTTGATATCACTTTAAATTTTACTTTAAAATTAATCTAACGACTAATATTAATAGTCTAAATTTAATAGGGGAAATAGGGCCCTAAAGGTGTGTTGAGAATAATTTTTTAAAAGTACTTTTAAAAATTATTTTTCATAAATATTTTTTTTTAAAAAGTGTTTAAAAACGTCTCACTTCGACCTTTACCACCATTACTCCCACCACCTCCGCTGTCATCGTCGCCACCACCACCTCCACTTCCACCACCACCCCCACCATCACCACTGCCGCCACATCCACCATCGTCGTTGTCATCACCACCAGCTTCCATCGCCATGCCCATTGCCACCGCCTCCACCACAGCCACCCCCCACCACCATCACCANCACCACTGCCGCCACATCCACCATCGTCGTTGTCATCACCACCACCTTCCATCGCCATGCCCATTGCCACCGCCTCCACCACAGCCACCCCCCACCACCATCCTTCACCGTCGTCGTCACTGTCACTGTCGTTGTCGCCACCACTCTCGCTGTCACCACGATCATTATCACCCAGTACAACCATCACTGTCTCCTACCACCATCTCTTCCCTCCACTACAAACCGATACTTAAATTTATTTATCTTTTCTCCATGTTTGTGATTTAATTTTGGATATAAATATAAATATGTTTATTATTCACCATTTTTTATTATTTTGTACTTTCAGGTACAGACAATAACTAATTATTTTATATACGATCAATACTTAGTTTTGATCATAATCTTTTCGTCAAAATTTCGAGATTAACTTCGAACCTCAAGACTAACTTCTCTAATTTTGTTTATTTTGTACAATTATCTAAATATAAAATGGAATTGCTTCATTGGCATCAAGGGGAATAATCAATTAATAATCGATATGAATCTGTTACTCGAGTTTTGGTAGTGATGGAGGCATAAACACCATCAAGTTATAAATTTTTCATTTTGCCCCAAAAAGAAGATTTCTTTTACAGCACAAGACATACACGGCCCTTTCCTCGTAGTGCAAGAATTATTTACAAATAAAGTTATGTATGTATCCGAGATTTACACTGCATAAATAGATTTAATGTACCTTATCTTATTGAAATTTCTCATTAAAAAAAACAAAATGATGTGTAATCTTCGAATATAGTTGGATCGTGATGGATATATGGAAGCAAAATGAGAGCAGAGACTAGACTACCGATTATGTGTGTGGCCTTTATTGCCAGCAAATGTGGTGGATGATGCATTCGCCAAGTTGGGTGTGACATAATTGTCAAGGTGGTGTCAACCTGGAGCCCTACATTCTCTTTGCGACTATGCCTATTGTAACACAGTTGAATTATAAATTTAAGTATTTTGACTTTGAATCTAAACAATTTTTTGATGTCAGGTCATGAGAGATTTATCTTTCATAAATATCTTAATTGCAATGTGGATGACCTATTTTTGACCGGACCGAAAAAAAAATTAATTGTAAGTATAAATAAAGTAATTTGAACACCTCTCCCTGTTGAAAAAAAAAACTAGGCCTATATACTTGTCTGTTCAAAAAAAAATGCCGATGGACTTGTGTTATACATAACCAAATATAAGAGGCATTGTTAACCTAAAATGAAAACAAAAAAGGCAGATCATGAGTTGGAAGATGCCCTGATTTGAACTTCATTGACTTCTCAAATTTCACATATTCCTTGACACCAAACAATATCATGCCTGATATGAAAATAATTTTAAATGAACGATAGTTCAAGTGGTGATAAGGACTAGTTATAAATTCTTGATAATCTTTTGGAGTCGAGCATGAGAAATTTATGCTTCACGAATATCCTAGTCTAGTCATAGACCAGATCAGATAGAAAATTAGTCGATATGCACATAAACTGTAAGCTCGACAGACACTCTAACCCTTGAACCAAAAAACCAAAAACAAAAAAAATAATTTCGCATCCATGCACTTATTAATGAATATAGCACTCCATAAACACATTTATAAGCAAACTCTACCATATTACTGAATCACCAAGCTTTATTTTGGATGAAATTCATCTAATATATGGTCATTATACAATTCGGACAAGCCTTGAGTCCATAATAATAATCCCAAAATTAATAAAAGTACAAATTACAATACAAATCTTCTAAAGAAGATCAAGTAAAAGAAATACTCAATAAGAAACCCTTGGAAGAGAATACCCAGAAGACAAGCCTGGAAGATGATAATGACCCTTTAAAGACTTGTCAACACACTTCAAAGGTGTAGGAGTGACCTGCATGAACAGATAGTTCCCAGCAAAGAGATCTCCAAAATGAGACTGACCCTCCTTCAACCTCTTCACAACCTTACTGCAAGCAGCCACAACCACCCTTGCTTTTCTCCTCAAGAACCTCCTCAAGCTTGGGATTCTAACCCTAAATCTCCTCCGAAGAGGAACTTTTCTGAATCTGGCCCAGCTTCTTGCTCTCCCAATCACCCTATCTGCTATATAATCATAATCATCATCATCAAACCCACCTTCATTTCTGAGTCTTTGGTAGGAAAGTTTGGCTGTTGAGGCCATAATTTAATGATAAAAAAGGGATTTTTTTTCCTTGGAAGAATATATGGAGAAGAAGAAGGTGGGTTGTCTGTGTCTTTGATTTGCATATGCATACGCAACTGTGCACATCCATATTTAATCTGTTTGTTGTAATGTGTGAGAGAGAGTAGTGGGGTTAGGTTTGCAGAATCTGGTGAGTGCATTCAATGCAAGTAAAGGCAGCTAGCTGGTGCAAATTACAGTATAAATAAACAACTTGTGGTTTTACCTACCTGTTGTTTTAAAATTTGCAGATAACCCCGTAACGTTTTTAGACCTAACTGAAAACGTTTTAGTTTTTTCATCCCACTTGATAGAGAGTCACATACACGCGCCTTTGACAGAGCGTGAGAAGTGTTTTCTTCGAAAAACACACATGCAAATATAAAAAATAACCCTTTGTACACAAATAAAAGTTCACCCTTGCATCTCCTTCAGCATTTCTGGCGTGTGAAACACACCGAGAAAGGGAAAAACCAATAATTAATTTCTGGGTTCATAAGGTATGTAAATTTTTTTTTCTCTCTGAACATATCTCAGATCTCACGTTGAAGAGAAACGTGAGATCTGGAAAGTTCAAAAAGATAGAATACATTTTAGGTAGAGCTACAACAATGAAAGGAAAATTGAAGATAGGGAGGAGGGGACAAAGTTTAATGGGGCATTGGGCCTACAAGATTGTCCATTATGCTGTAACGGAGCTTGTGCCAATTAAAAGTGATTGTCATTCTTCTGTCTGAAGAAAAAAAAAACAGAGACACGAAAGAAAGAGGAGACCTAATCCGTTAGGTGGAGAGGAAACCTTTGGTATAAATGAGGGTAATAATGTCTTTTTGTCAACCGTCCTGCTTTTCACACCACTAAATAACAAAAAAAGGACATCAAAAAGTCGTTAATTAATTTCCCCTGCCAGAACATTTTCAAAGCAAAATTCACACCCATAACAGTCGATGAACAGGTGCCCCATCCTAATTCAAGTCTGACTCCATGTAAGGGTTCCGTCCTCTTGTAAATCTCACCAGCTAGTCTTTCATCTAGTCGCCCTAAACAAACCCTAATCAGGTATCATTGCCCCGTAGGGCTTGTTTTGTTGAAGATTCGCTCCGTTGCGGTATTGGTCAACCAATACCGATACAAATCAGTTAAGTCGCATTTGATTTAACATCTATCAAGACGATACCATTACATGATACGTATAAATATAGTCTCGCACGATTCGGCCAAGTTGTACTCAAGTCAACTCCAAATCGCCGAGTTGCCATTATTGAATCGATCGATACGGTTGAGCAACACTGCGATATAACTTAAATCTCTCATCATATTCAACAGTTATTTTTAGGTAGGATCGCAANGCGGTATTGGTCAACCAATACCGATACAAATCAGTTAAGTCGCATTTGATTTAACATTTATCAAGACGATACCATTACATGATACGTATAAATATAGTCTCACACGATTCGGCCAAGTTGTACCCAAGTCAACCCCAAATCGCCGAGTTGCCATTATTGAATCGATCGATACGGTTGAGCAACACTGCGATATAACCTAAATCTCTCATCATATTCAACAGTTATTTTTAGGTAGGATCGCAGGATTCAACAGTTACTTTTAGGTATTATCGGCGGATAACGGACCACGACGTCGCGACCGATATGTCTCTATACTCTCTAAGTCAATGGTCAACACTGTGACCATAAACCATGCTCAGTTGCACACTCTTAAACTAACAGCATCAAAAGATAAAGAATTATCTCAACATGTACATTTCTAACGTCCAGATCAAAAGACATCATTCCTAGATTCACAAACCTAAACCCATTTCCACAAGGTGAATAACGAAAAACGAATTTGCAGCACTAGCTAAGAGAAATACAGATGAAGCAAACAAACTAATTAGTAGAGCTTTATTCTGGTTTGAATTGGAGTCCGACAGATGGGGCACAATTGAAGGTCTTGTCCACATTCGCAACATGTCTGCGAAGAAAAGAAAATGTGTAAGGGGTTAGAAGTCTTAATCTTGATACCTTAATTTCTACTTATTTTTGCAATGTTTGAGGCAAATATACAACAAATTTACCTGATGTCCACAACCAAAGGCCATGTCCTTCGAGTTACCAAGGCAAATGGGACAAAGCTGTCCAAGTACCAGAAAAAACATTAGCAAAATTTCTGACACTCGGGATCATAATCACGATGATTTTATATGTGAACGCTCCTAAAGGAAGAAACGCAGACACACAAAAGCAACATATACCAAGTTCAAACCATCAGCAGATAGAACATTTCACTAATATACAAGCAAACATTTGTTGAAATAGTCCAAACCAGCCTTGTGCTAAAGCACCAAAACAAATAACAGGGTTCATACGAGATCATCAAAAGTATAATTTAGAGCCGTGGTGCAAAAATAAAGAATACCCTATGTACCTGGTTGTCATATGTAGAACTTGGAGCAGATGGAGCTGTGCCAACAGGACTGCTGTTGCCATAATAAGGAGGCGAACTCAGCTTAAAACTGGTTGAACATGAAGGTTTTGAACTTCTAAAAGAAGCTGCACCATATACAGGAGTGGGAAGGGGAAACCTCTCAGGAGCATTTCCTTTTCTCGAACTGCAATCAAGCAAAGAGAGGATAACAAATGGCCAATGAAACATTTATGTATCTATAGCATGGAAAATAGAGAAAACAATCTATTCCATCTATTACCCCAATATATTGAACTCTATCGTTGCTTTATATTGAGAAGGTATTTCCATCAATGCTGCAAGAGAAAATTTTGTCTCTTTTCGAGATTGGGCCACATTTTCTGACATGATTTCTGTAAAATTGACAAACTGAAAAAGAACAGAGCAGTTCTCAGTCAAGCATAATATTGGGCATAAATGAACAAGGTATAAATTTTTATCACGACTAGAATCACCTGGAAATTATCAAAGGTCCGAGCGGGGATGTTATCATCAAATTCCTTCATCATGTCCCAGGGCCCATCTCCAACCCCAACTAAAATAATCGATAGGGGAAACTTGCTGTAAAAAATTGAAGAAATACAAAACCAGCACATTAGAGCGAGAGAGAGAGAGAGAGATGAGTAGTCCAGCTCCAGCAAAAGCTTAAAAAAAAAGAGAAAACAAGTTACACCCAATCACCTTGCTTCTACAATCGCTTCAACAGTTTTCTGCTCGTGTGGGCTCAACTGACCACGCTCAGTATCAACACTTCTGGTTACCTATGGGAACATGTAATTGTGAGAGGTGAAACTGTGGAAATACGAAAATTGCCTGACTTTCCTAGTCATCATAATAAAGGCCACCCAATTTGGCATAACAAAGAGGATCATAAATGTAGTTGTAAGCATCAAACCTAATTTGGCATAGCAAAAATAATCATTAAAATAATAGTAAGCACTAATATTGTTTTGCACCAAGTTCTTATTCAGCTTATATCATGTACCTCAAGTCTCTAAAAAAGTGTAAGCATGATCCAAAAATCAAAAAAAGAAAACTTTAAGAAAAGATTTTCAACATGTTGTCTTTCCATTTGCATCTATGTAAGCCTCCTAGTAACCCACGAGAAATCCCGTAGGAAAGTAGAACCAAGATTAAATAGCCCTCAGTACATAAATAACAAGGTGAGGTCATGTATACAACAATCAATGTTAAATTATAATACACTATAACATCAATGATCCTCAAGTATACTCCCCATTGTTCTTAAACCCATAGCTTCATACAATGGCTAGGGTGCCACCTAAGAGCATGCATGTGCACCCCACACAAACCCAGGCAAACTATCAAGAGACATGTAGGCAACTGTAAACATCCATACTGTATCAACAGAAGGTTTAGGCCTAACCATGACCTTGTAGTTGGCTCACCTAGATAGCCACAAACAATTACCCTCGCAGCATCCATTGGGCATGCCACTTTGTTTTCGCTTTTAATATTATATTAGACAATTATTGCTGAAAGTAGTAGCTCTTGCTGCTCACTCAACTACAATTATCCCTTCTAGAAAGACTTGATGGTACAAAAGATTTGTGTTATTCAAGACAAAATGCAAATGAAATTTGTAAATAGCCCAGCAGGTTCCACAATCCAATGTCTGAACCAAGTGTGCTAAGAGCCAATATTGCTAAGAAAGGCAATTGTATGACACATACTTCATTATTTATGAACCCAAAAAACAACTAAAGATTGTTACACACACACAAGAATTTTTAACAAACCTTGACTTTTTCATTTACAGTAGCATTGGTTTTGTAGGTATGCTTAATAACACCGATCAATCAACTAGTTATCTGATTATCTTAACCCTCATTGTTTCCCTTCCAGTAGCACAATCAAATTCATTGCTTAGCCTCCAATCATATTATAGTCAAGTGACAAGGATGTCTGCCCATCAATAAGACTGAACAAAGGTTAATATTCAGCACAGGCAAAACAATTCCTTTTCCTTTTTCATTCGGGCAAAATGATAGAAAAATTATTGCCCCATTCCCATGTTTTTTTATCTTTCATTGTTCTAAAACTGGGGCGCCTTAGGGTTAAAGCAAGACCACTCATCTCTACAGGTCATGGAAGTATAATACCTGCTTGTATGCAACTATGAACGGAACATGTACCAGCAAGTGGCATAATTAGGTTGCCACCCTTAATTTCAAGGATAATGTAGTCACAACACCAGGATGTTTTCTCCTTCAATATCCCAACTAAAAAAGGGATAAATATGCAACTAAGACAAAATACCTGCCCATCTGCAATTATAACTAAAACGTGGTACTGGCCACCACTCTGCTCAACAATGGTCATTGCCATTTCAATGACAGGGGCAAAGGATGTTGGTCCTACAGAAAAATGAGAAATATAAGAACCAGTCAAGATAGCTTCAAGTACTAAAACCAGAACAAGACGGGTTGAGTAGATATAAACCTGCCAGTCGTAGATGAGGGACAATTTCTCTGTACCGACTCAACACTTCCTCAAATCCATTACAAACTCTGTCATCAGGATAGAAACTGAAGACATTTTGATCATGTGTTGATGCTGTCGAAATTTAGACAAAAAATAATCATTTTAACTATTGGAATAAGCCGATTCAAGAATTTTTTTAAACAAAATCATTGGCTCATAATATTGTACCATCTCCAAATCCAAAACAGGGAATCAAGTTATCCTCATCAAACGCAGCTAAGGTTTTCCCAATAATAGAAATTGCTTGTTCGTAGGGGTTTAAACCATCTCCAATGTGATGTAAGCTTCGTCTTTTGAACGACCTTGCACCTATTTTCATCAATCCAAGTGCAACATGTTTCACTATAAAGTCCACAATCACAATGCAAATTGAAACTGTCAGATTAGGCATCAAGGCTTAACCTGTCCACTCGTTACTCTTAGTGAAATCAATACCAACAATGAGATTGGACGACTCAAGGCCAGCATGTGCCAGAGCCTCAGTCACCTGCAAAGAACAGGTTGTCACATATTTTGACTCTTCGTAATAGGTCAAATGCAAGTAATGAATGCCACCACGAAACAATCATAGGACTGAATAAAAAAATCCAAAAGAATGACTGAGGACCAAATATCATTATAATGTATGCCTACTGAACTACTAGTAATTAACAAAATCATAATTTAAAGAGTAAATATCGGTGACACCAACTTTAGATTGCCCCAATTATAGAGACATCTATTTGGGGTTTTTAAATCTCACCGAACCCATATGTGGTTCATATATGCAAATCAAACAACACCCATCGTTTTTGTTTTAAATTTATAATACCCATCTCATTATGGGCATTACCGACAAAAAGTGATCAAGCCAGGGAATGTTCCACATTAATAACTATATTACCCTCCTCCTCCTCTATCTTCTCTCTCAACGTGCCACTGCCAAAATTCACCATCATACCCATTACAACCCCAGTTGTGCCTCCATCCAACCATACCTCCAAATTTCAATAATATCCTATTGAAAGTAAGGAGAGGATCATAAGTCATAACAAGAAGCTGACTACATCACGATATTTTTTATACCAAAAAATTATCAAAATCATGCATAGAGTTTAAAAGTCCAAATTGTTCAATAATAGCACAAACTTTTCCTCCACAGTGTTTTATTATAAAAAATCCAACCAATAATAATAACTCTTAGTTATTTGATGAGGGTATGCCATATTTCATTTTGCAAACTGCATCAACTAACTCCTTCAAATTTTCCTTTCACCAAGCATTTTGTAAGAAGTTCAAAGTATGACTTCAACTAGTCATAGTGGGGCATGCGCAACAATCTCCAAAGCAACTATCAAGATTTTTTAGATAGTGAAGTATTAAGGAAAAATGATGCCAATAGACGTGTATAAAAAACATAGATATCTGCTTGATGGATCTTGCACTACGAGAATCGCTATGAGCTATTGCATATGATCGTACCTGCTCCAAGGAACTATAATTGTCAGCAATCCTTGAATACCTCCTGTCAAGCTTCCTTTGCGGTTCCTGGGGTCGACCACCATAATTTTGAGGAGGTGGGTTGTACTGTTGTGGTGGATAAGCCGGATAAACCTGCTTTGGATGGTTGTTTTGATTCTCCTGAGGATACAGCGATTGAGGATATTGGTATTGATTGAACGAAGACGAAGAAGTAGACCGAAAAGAAGAAGATTGCCTCCACCTATTCTCCCTTGAACTTCTGCCCCCCATCAAGTAAATTATCTGCAAAAATACAAATATTCTCAACAAACCCAACTTCTCTCGTTCATAACACAACTCATCAAATCAAACAAATCTTTCAAAATCAATCACCTGAAAAACCGGATACAACACCTCAGAGAAAAAACCCAAATTTCAACTTCTAAACTTGAATTTGCTGATTAAGCTTTCGCTTCCTTTAGACCAAAGTAAATTCTCAAAAAGTATATATATATATATATATATATATATATATATATATATATATATATATATTGCAATAATGTATGACCTTGAATTAGAGGTCTAACAAATAACCCACGCATGCAATAAAAATGGTCCTATATTCTCCATGCGTGAAACTCAATGAAAGCGAATATATAGACAACAGAGAGTAAGGAGACCAAAGATAAACTCCAAAATCACCGACCGCCACACAGGCCCTTATCGACTTAGTTTCTCTTCTGCGTCGCCGACATAATTTACATACGTGCACAAACAGAAACGTAAACGAGTCCATAACTACATACGTCATAAAAGAACTAACTCCAGTCAAAAACAATGTCCTCCTCCTTCCGCACCCGCACAGTTGCACTACTTTACTCGAAAATACCCAAATTCAGCAGTGAATAAAGCAGAACCGCCCGTAGTTCGAAGGCAAAATCACAAAATTAAAGCCGCATTGTTCCAGATCTAAAACCTTGAGTATTCTTTTCTTCCCTAATTCATCTCACTTTCATCCACAATAACAATGTAGAGATATATATGCAAGTGGAAGCATGTCTGAGACTTGAATCGATACACGAACAGGAGAGAGAGAGAGAGAGAGAGAGAGAGAGAGAGAGAGAGAGAGAGACAAACCTCGGTGTCGGAAAATAGATTCTCTGCTGCATTTTTCTTGCAGAAAATGCGTTCACACCTTGATTATGTTGCAGAAATTCAATGGCGGATCGACATGTTTAAAAGGATAGGGAGAAAATGGGATAAATCTCATTTTGGAAAAATATAAAAATTTTTAGTTTGCCCCTAATCCCTTAAAGAATAAAAAATTACACTGTGGTCTATCTTTTTATTTTTATTTAATCGTCAGTCTATTTTATGTTAAATTGCCCAATCATAAATTACAAAACAAATGGAAAATTAAAAAAAAACAAGATGATGTATTAAATTATAATATTTTTTATTCTTTAATGGGGTAAGATGGAAAAATTAATTATTTAAGGGATAAATTAAAAAATTGTATATCTTTTAGGAGCAAAATAAAATTTCTCCAAAAAAATGATAACTTTTTGAAGTGCCCTTTTTTTGAAAGGCTGGCACATGCAAGTTTTCTCGCCGGAATGATTAGGATCGAGATTCAGATTTGTGAGATGTAAACACGTTAGCAAGAGGATATAATCTGTAATAATGACAAATATTTGTAATTAGGTTAACGGTTGGTGAAGTCGATTAGTGTTTTTTTTTTTTTCTTAGCAGTGGTATTGTACGTGGACTTAAAAAGTAGACTTGATAATCAGTATTTATTGGAACCTATTATCTATTCAATAGTTGAGATTATCAAATTTAATTTTTAAATTCACCTAACATTATTCTTTTTTTTTTTATGTACATTAAAAAATAAAACATGGATTATTTAAACCCTCTAGTAAAAGAAATACAAAAGAGGTCACTCAAAATGAACAAACCTAACACAGACGATGGGTTTTCAAAAAACACAAAAAGATCTGATTGATGGCTTCCCGGGCTTGCCATCTTATCAATGCAAAAATTCCCTTATCTCAAAGTATGGAGAATGGAAGTATTAGTCAGTCTCATAATATACTTGCAATTAGCGTTTTAATCTAAGTTTAAATATTATCATTTCTCTTGTAATTGTGGATGAGAAAAAAATAGGAGTTAAATTACTTCTTTTAAATATTATTTCATTTTTTTTATCATTATTATTTTTTTAAATAGTGAAAGAGAGAATGGATGAGAAGAGAGAAGAGGAGATAAAATATTATAAAAAAAATTTACAAATCGCTATAGCGATACTCTACATATAAAGTATTACTGTAACCAAAATTTATTTTAGATGTTTTGAAGATAATTTGTTAGAATAAAATTTTTGGGTTAAATAATTAAAATTTGAAGATTTTATTTCATTTAAATCATCTGTCATAAGAAGTGTTCACTTCTTCCGATGTGGGATTGCCTTAGAAAATGGTCCTATTGGCGAAGAGAGGTAAAGGCTATTGGAAGGTCACCCGCGTGGGTTAACCCAGGTCAAGCCGAAATCTTTAATAGAGGGTTCTACCCCTTACAAGATCCTTATTCATTTTTTCAAGCCTAATTTTTGGTCCAAGCAGCCATTGCTCGCGAGAATACACAATCAGACAACGGGTCAGACAAGTTTTAGGGCCATGGGCCTATAAAGGTTGTCCACTTGCACACATTCAGGGAAAGAACGAACCCAAAAGAGTGGAGTGGCAAGGCCCATACCCCATTCTTGACACCCTCGTTTGGTCGCCGTAGAAATTGCTGGGTTGGATTAAGGAATGCACTATAACATAATATAGATGGAGAAAAGATAACATTAAATACAGTATTAAAATAATACGTAAATTTATATAATATTTGATAATATACAAAATAAGCATTAAATAATAGTTATTTAGTCTAAACCGCTGTTTGGTAAATAAATTATTTAATTATATTAATGTTGAATTAACAAAAATACCATCAATCAGTATTTGTTATGTTGATAATAATTTGATTTTATCAATTATGGGGTTATAATAGTAAATGTGTACAATAATATATTTGGGTTGGATTATAATATCACCTCTCTTGGTGGTATTAAAATACTTTCATAATACAAATCTATCGTAAAAAAAAATTATATGATAAATATACGATTAGTATATATTTTGAAATTAATACGAAATTAAATTTATCTACCAAATAAAGTATTAGACCCAATTAAATAAATAATAATACAATTCAATAATTAATCCACTCATAATTCGTCCACCAAATGAGCACGAATAAATGCTATGGAATTGCGCAAAACGAGTAAATGTATATATATAACTTGACCTCTTCATAAAATTCATGTTTTTTTTTTTAGTTTTATGTTATTTGTACAATGATTTTTGACTGATTCTTCAATTAATCATTTTCTCATATGAAAACGATATTTTTAATCCACTATTTTGAATGTGTTAACATAAAAGCATGCCTAGAAAACATGGTTTTAATGTTTTTATTTAAAATATCGTTTTGCAGAAAAGAAATACATTGATATAAGCAACATTAAATTAGAGATTAAGGTCAAAATCATTACACAAAAGGCTTGTTTGGTTGTCGTATTAGAAATAAATAGATTAGATAAAAATAATCTGGTCTATACAACACAAAATGACAAAAGACAAGATTAAATAGGGTATTAAAATAATACGTAATTTTATCTAATATTTGGTGATACACAACATAAACGTTGGATAATAATTATTTAATTCAATCAATTATTTGGTTAAAGAATGATTTTATCTTATTAATGTTAAATTAAAAAAAATACCCTCNAATCCATTACAAACTCTGTCATCAGGATAGAAACTGAAGACATTTTGATCATGTGTTGATGCTGTCGAAATTTAGACAAAAAATAATCATTTTAACTATTGGAATAAGCCGATTCAAGAATTTTTTTAAACAAAATCATTGGCTCATAATATTGTACCATCTCCAAATCCAAAACAGGGAATCAAGTTATCCTCATCAAACGCAGCTAAGGTTTTCCCAATAATAGAAATTGCTTGTTCGTAGGGGTTTAAACCATCTCCAATGTGATGTAAGCTTCGTCTTTTGAACGACCTTGCACCTATTTTCATCAATCCAAGTGCAACATGTTTCACTATAAAGTCCACAATCACAATGCAAATTGAAACTGTCAGATTAGGCATCAAGGCTTAACCTGTCCACTCGTTACTCTTAGTGAAATCAATACCAACAATGAGATTGGACGACTCAAGGCCAGCATGTGCCAGAGCCTCAGTCACCTGCAAAGAACAGGTTGTCACATATTTTGACTCTTCGTAATAGGTCAAATGCAAGTAATGAATGCCACCACGAAACAATCATAGGACTGAATAAAAAAATCCAAAAGAATGACTGAGGACCAAATATCATTATAATGTATGCCTACTGAACTACTAGTAATTAACAAAATCATAATTTAAAGAGTAAATATCGGTGACACCAACTTTAGATTGCCCCAATTATAGAGACATCTATTTGGGGTTTTTAAATCTCACCGAACCCATATGTGGTTCATATATGCAAATCAAACAACACCCATCGTTTTTGTTTTAAATTTATAATACCCATCTCATTATGGGCATTACCGACAAAAAGTGATCAAGCCAGGGAATGTTCCACATTAATAACTATATTACCCTCCTCCTCCTCTATCTTCTCTCTCAACGTGCCACTGCCAAAATTCACCATCATACCCATTACAACCCCAGTTGTGCCTCCATCCAACCATACCTCCAAATTTCAATAATATCCTATTGAAAGTAAGGAGAGGATCATAAGTCATAACAAGAAGCTGACTACATCACGATATTTTTTATACCAAAAAATTATCAAAATCATGCATAGAGTTTAAAAGTCCAAATTGTTCAATAATAGCACAAACTTTTCCTCCACAGTGTTTTATTATAAAAAATCCAACCAATAATAATAACTCTTAGTTATTTGATGAGGGTATGCCATATTTCATTTTGCAAACTGCATCAACTAACTCCTTCAAATTTTCCTTTCACCAAGCATTTTGTAAGAAGTTCAAAGTATGACTTCAACTAGTCATAGTGGGGCATGCGCAACAATCTCCAAAGCAACTATCAAGATTTTTTAGATAGTGAAGTATTAAGGAAAAATGATGCCAATAGACGTGTATAAAAAACATAGATATCTGCTTGATGGATCTTGCACTACGAGAATCGCTATGAGCTATTGCATATGATCGTACCTGCTCCAAGGAACTATAATTGTCAGCAATCCTTGAATACCTCCTGTCAAGCTTCCTTTGCGGTTCCTGGGGTCGACCACCATAATTTTGAGGAGGTGGGTTGTACTGTTGTGGTGGATAAGCCGGATAAACCTGCTTTGGATGGTTGTTTTGATTCTCCTGAGGATACAGCGATTGAGGATATTGGTATTGATTGAACGAAGACGAAGAAGTAGACCGAAAAGAAGAAGATTGCCTCCACCTATTCTCCCTTGAACTTCTGCCCCCCATCAAGTAAATTATCTGCAAAAATACAAATATTCTCAACAAACCCAACTTCTCTCGTTCATAACACAACTCATCAAATCAAACAAATCTTTCAAAATCAATCACCTGAAAAACCGGATACAACACCTCAGAGAAAAAACCCAAATTTCAACTTCTAAACTTGAATTTGCTGATTAAGCTTTCGCTTCCTTTAGACCAAAGTAAATTCTCAAAAAGTATATATATATATATATATATATATATATATATATATATATATATATATATTGCAATAATGTATGACCTTGAATTAGAGGTCTAACAAATAACCCACGCATGCAATAAAAATGGTCCTATATTCTCCATGCGTGAAACTCAATGAAAGCGAATATATAGACAACAGAGAGTAAGGAGACCAAAGATAAACTCCAAAATCACCGACCGCCACACAGGCCCTTATCGACTTAGTTTCTCTTCTGCGTCGCCGACATAATTTACATACGTGCACAAACAGAAACGTAAACGAGTCCATAACTACATACGTCATAAAAGAACTAACTCCAGTCAAAAACAATGTCCTCCTCCTTCCGCACCCGCACAGTTGCACTACTTTACTCGAAAATACCCAAATTCAGCAGTGAATAAAGCAGAACCGCCCGTAGTTCGAAGGCAAAATCACAAAATTAAAGCCGCATTGTTCCAGATCTAAAACCTTGAGTATTCTTTTCTTCCCTAATTCATCTCACTTTCATCCACAATAACAATGTAGAGATATATATGCAAGTGGAAGCATGTCTGAGACTTGAATCGATACACGAACAGGAGAGAGAGAGAGAGAGAGAGAGAGAGAGAGAGAGAGAGAGAGAGACAAACCTCGGTGTCGGAAAATAGATTCTCTGCTGCATTTTTCTTGCAGAAAATGCGTTCACACCTTGATTATGTTGCAGAAATTCAATGGCGGATCGACATGTTTAAAAGGATAGGGAGAAAATGGGATAAATCTCATTTTGGAAAAATATAAAAATTTTTAGTTTGCCCCTAATCCCTTAAAGAATAAAAAATTACACTGTGGTCTATCTTTTTATTTTTATTTAATCGTCAGTCTATTTTATGTTAAATTGCCCAATCATAAATTACAAAACAAATGGAAAATTAAAAAAAAACAAGATGATGTATTAAATTATAATATTTTTTATTCTTTAATGGGGTAAGATGGAAAAATTAATTATTTAAGGGATAAATTAAAAAATTGTATATCTTTTAGGAGCAAAATAAAATTTCTCCAAAAAAATGATAACTTTTTGAAGTGCCCTTTTTTTGAAAGGCTGGCACATGCAAGTTTTCTCGCCGGAATGATTAGGATCGAGATTCAGATTTGTGAGATGTAAACACGTTAGCAAGAGGATATAATCTGTAATAATGACAAATATTTGTAATTAGGTTAACGGTTGGTGAAGTCGATTAGTGTTTTTTTTTTTTTCTTAGCAGTGGTATTGTACGTGGACTTAAAAAGTAGACTTGATAATCAGTATTTATTGGAACCTATTATCTATTCAATAGTTGAGATTATCAAATTTAATTTTTAAATTCACCTAACATTATTCTTTTTTTTTTTATGTACATTAAAAAATAAAACATGGATTATTTAAACCCTCTAGTAAAAGAAATACAAAAGAGGTCACTCAAAATGAACAAACCTAACACAGACGATGGGTTTTCAAAAAACACAAAAAGATCTGATTGATGGCTTCCCGGGCTTGCCATCTTATCAATGCAAAAATTCCCTTATCTCAAAGTATGGAGAATGGAAGTATTAGTCAGTCTCATAATATACTTGCAATTAGCGTTTTAATCTAAGTTTAAATATTATCATTTCTCTTGTAATTGTGGATGAGAAAAAAATAGGAGTTAAATTACTTCTTTTAAATATTATTTCATTTTTTTTATCATTATTATTTTTTTAAATAGTGAAAGAGAGAATGGATGAGAAGAGAGAAGAGGAGATAAAATATTATAAAAAAAATTTACAAATCGCTATAGCGATACTCTACATATAAAGTATTACTGTAACCAAAATTTATTTTAGATGTTTTGAAGATAATTTGTTAGAATAAAATTTTTGGGTTAAATAATTAAAATTTGAAGATTTTATTTCCTTTAAATCATCTGTCATAAGAAGTGTTCACTTCTTCCGATGTGGGATTGCCTTAGGAAATGATCCTATTGACGAAGAGAGGTAAAGGCTACTAGGGGATCACCCGCGTGGGTTAACCCAGGTCAAGCCGAAATCTTTAGTAGAGGATTCTACCCCTTACAAGATCCTTATTCATTTTTTCAAGCCTAATTTTTGGTCCAAGCAGCATTGCTCGCGAGAATACACAATCAGACAACGGGTCAGACAAGTTTTAGGGCCATGGGCCTATAAAGGTTGTCCACTTGCACACATTCAGGGAAAGAACGAACCCAAAAGAGTGGAGTGGCAAGGCCCATACCCCATTCTTGACACCCTCGTTTGGTCGCCGTAGAAATTGCTGGGTTGGATTAAGGAATGCACTATAACATAATATAGATGGAGAAAAGATAACATTAAATACAGTATTAAAATAATACGTAAATTTATATAATATTTGATAATATACAAAATAAGCATTAAATAATAGTTATTTAGTCTAAACCGCTGTTTGGTAAATAAATTATTTAATTATATTAATGTTGAATTAACAAAAATACCATCAATCAGTATTTGTTATGTTGATAATAATTTGATTTTATCAATTATGGGGTTATAATAGTAAATGTGTACAATAATATATTTGGGTTGGATTATAATATCGCCTCTCTTGGTGGTATTAAAATACTTTCATAATACAAATCTATCGTAAAAAAAAAATTATATGATAAATATACGATTAGTATATATTTTGAAATTAATACGAAATTAAATTTGTCTACCAAATAAAGTATTAGACCCAATTAAATAAATAATAATACAATTCAATAATTAATCCACTCATAATACGTCCACCAAATGAGCACGAATAAATGCTATGGAATTGCGCAAAACGAGTAAATGTATATATATAACTTGACCTCTTCATAAAATTCATGTTTTTTTTTTTAGTTTTATGTTATGTGTACAATGATTTTTGACTGATTCTTCAATTAATCATTTTCTCATATGAAAACGATATTTTTAATCCACTATTTTTAATGTGTTAACATAAAAGCATGCCTAGAAAACATGGTTTTAATGTTTTTATTTAAAATATCGTTTTGCATAAAAGAAATACATTGATATAAGCAACATTAAATTAGAGATTAAGGTCAAAATTATTACACAAAAGGCTTGTTTGGTTGCCGTATTAGAAATAAATAGATTAGATAAAAATAATCTGGTCTATACAATACAAAATGACAAAAGACAAGATTAAATAGGGTATTAAAATAATACATAATTTTATTTAATATTTGGTGATACACAAAATAAACGTTGGATAGTAATTATTTAATTCAATCAATTGTTTGGTTAAAAAATTATTTTATCTTATTAATGTTAAATTAAAAAAAATACCCTAAATCAATATTTGTTACATTAATGACAGTTTAATTTTATCAGTTGAGGGGTTATAATGATAAATGTGTAAAATAATACGTGTGAGTTGGATTATAATATCATCTATTTTTATGGTATTAAAATATCTCCATAATACATGTCTAACGTTTAAAAAATATATAATAAATATACGTTTTTAAAATTAATACGATATCAAATTTACTTACTAAACAAAATATTAGGCCCGATTAAATAAAAAAATAGTACATTATAATATTTAATTCCCTCATAATACTTCTACTAAATTTGCCCAAAATGAATAAAAGTTTAGTATGATAATTGATTCCATATAACAACAGTTATAAGGTTGTTAATTTTACATGTTAGTATGATATAACCAATTAACAGTATTAACAAATAGATCAGATTAGTGTTACTCAAGAAAGCTCCTTAATCAGTGTTATAAAAGAAAATACAAATTTCTCTTATTTTTTTTTCTCTAGTATTGGTTAAAAGTTCAATTAGGATAATAGATAATAGAGAATAGAGAATATAAGGGATTAGTCTAAAATATTTCACTCCAACCCCAAAGGGTCACTTATGTAATAATAAGAATGAATTATAAATTTAAACGTTTTGAATTTGAATGACCAAGTTATAAGAGATTTATTTTTCACGAATTCATTTGTCCTAACGTGAATGATCTGTTTTTAACCGAATTAGGGAGGAGAATAATCAAGGTCGGACTAGATAGAGGAATTGACCCGAACACCCTTGACTATTTACTAATAAAATATTTCAGTCTCTAAAAAAAAATCTCTCTAAAATAGAGAATGCAAATGTTCTCATTAGACGACATTCACCGTGTCCAAAAGATAAAAGACAACTAGCAATTCATCAAAGGTCCTCCAGTTTACCCAAAAAATAGAAAAGTGGCCCTCCAAGTTGGGAAGCATTGTATTCCTACAACCCCCACCGGCCCGGTCGCAAGAAAATTCGTCTTTTAATAGTGGGCAAATTATTCCTCAACTATTATTGATAGTTTTTCATATTATTCCTCAACTATCATTCATATTTATCATATTATACATTTAAATATGTTATTTATTTCACATTACACCAATTATTAACGTTTATTATAAATTTAATCAAAAATTATCTGTTTTTTCTTACTTTTCCTCAAACACATTAACAATTTTTATCAAAACGAATACTTCCATTTAGGAAAATGAAAAATTATGAATAATTCAACAGTTCTAGGAATAAAGTAAAATTAAGTGCATAGTTCAGGGGTCCAAATGTCATTTACCCTAACACACAGCAGAACATTTCCATTTTGAATAGTATTATTAGATACTATAAAAAACTAATATAGTTTATTGTCTTACTAATATGTCAAGCCATAAAGTTTCAATAAAGAAGTCTAAAGGTAACAATTTTATCAATAATATTATTTAGACTTATTTTTTTGACTTAATCTATTATAATTGTTAATTGTGAATTCTACTAATAATTATAAATAATTAGATCAATAAATTAAATAAATAAATTAAATCTAAATAATATCACACATAAATTTCTTACACTACTCTTCCATTCTTCACTATCACTTCACTCCGGGATAAGAGACTAATCCGACGCTGCTCACCCATGCTCGAGTCCATCTAATCAGCACCCGCTATATAAGAAGGCATCGACGAACGAGAAAAGCTCGAAAAAACCTGCCCCAGCTCAGCTCTTCCCAACACCAGAACGGTGTTCAACGCGGTCGCTGGCTACAAAGGCATTTCAACGGTCTGTCCACAAGAGCTGTCTTCCTCTTCTAACAAACACGCAACACACACACACACACACACACTATTGCTATATATATATATATATTCACGCGTACATGTATTTCCAAAAGTTCTCAGGAGAAGAGAATCAAATTGGACTTACTAGCAGCAGTACTTGGATTCGTTGCTTGGACGTTACTGAATGGATCGGAAACTAGGGTTTTAACACCATGAGCTAAACCGTAGTGACGACTCTCTCAGAGTTCGACCTCAGAATGAAGCTGAACCGCGAGATTGTTCGTTCCACGAAGCTGTTCAAGTACGNTTGCTTGGACGTTACTGAATGGATCGGAAACTAGGGTTTTAACACCATGAGCTAAACAGTAGTGACGACTCTCTCAGAGTTCGACCTCAGAATGAAGCT